ATTGGCCAAAAATTGTATTAACTTTGGATCAATGTGTGTATACATTGGTCCAATGTTGCCAAACATCATAAACACATTTTGCTTTTTTCCCATTTATACTATACAGAAGTGTATTCAAATTTTTAAAAATGATTTCAATTTGTTGATAAACTAATCGCATAATCCTCCTTCATTACAAAATCAAATAAAGTTACAGGTTTGTCCACTGTTACGTCTCAATAGAGATATCTATTTTTTTCTAAATCTGCTTGAAAAATAGTTGTGAAATAAACTATACTGCACCAGAGACAACAGCTTATTAAAGCTCTGCAAAATATCAAAACAAAATTTAAAAAAAAATAATCAATTGATAAATTTAATGCATGTCTATAATCAGTTTTATGAAAATATAAATTCAAAAAGTTAATAAATTCAAATGTAGACAAGTCTACTTAAATCTGTTCATTTAATGTATATGATAATGCACTTTAAATTTTCCACTGTTAATTGATAATCATTCACTGTCCTCAGTTATATTCATGGAGCTTTGGTTTCTTTCCTTTTCTTTCTTCTTTTCCTCTCTTTCTTTTCTCCTTCCTTCACGGTCACACGCATATCGAAACCACTCTTTTATACAATTGTTAATCTCACTGTGTGTTGAATCCGTACATAAGCGGTTGGCTCGCACAGCTCCTTTCAATAACGACATCCTGAATTAATCTCAAGTTAAAAAAAGATGCTGAAATCTTAAAGGAAAGGTGTAATCATCAGGTTTTATTTGTGCTGGTAGTATATTTTATTGGTCATATCTTATTTTTTGTAAATTTAAACATTCATTTTCTTAACTTACTTTTTAAAACATCCTTGATTTTCAACTTTGAGAAGGCCAGCTCTCCTCCTTTGCCCATCCAGTTAATTTCCCTTGCCACCTTGTTGGCAAACATGAAGGCAAGCAATCTTCTGACTTTTTTTATGTTCTATCCACCAATGGGCATGAGAAATTTAACCTAAAGAAAATCATTCTTGTATTTCATTGATAAAACAAATTATATCACTCATAACAAATTGAGATTAAAATTATTTGAAACAGTATATGGAATTACAAAATCTTAAGTCTACCAGATTGAACATAATTTGTGATATAACTAGAGTTGTCAATCCTTTGAGTATGACTTTTTAAGATATATTTACCATGTTTCTTGTCACTTCCTCATCTTTGAGTTTATCCTCGCACTTCCAAATATCTTCCTGAGATTGGATAGGAAACAGTTTTCCTATTTCTCCATCCGTCTCCATTAAGTCTTCCGTCACATTGTTGACTGTGTCAACTTTTCTAAGTAAAGCATTTAAAAGCTTTGTGTTGTGGTTTACTTGGACATTTACCTCTTCCATTAACATCAAGACTTTCCTCTCGAAACCTGCATATTCAATAAATTGTATATTATACAGTCATGCAGAATTATTCAAATGAATAACTAAATTCTTTTTTCTAGTCTTAAATTCCTCAATTAAGGAGAGACTTTAATTTATTGCTTTTTCATGTATCATTTGTACATTTGACTTAAATAGCAAAATAACATGTAATAAATTTAAATTCATTATAGAATTTTAATTTTAATTTTGTTTAGAAAATCGCATGAACCAATAGAATTTTGTCATATACTTCATACTTACTTCCTACAGTGGTTCTTTCTGCAGTTCTGTCAAATAGAGTTGGTAGAGCAGTTGCTACGTGGCTAGTTCTAGATGGTGTTTAGGGGGGAAGTGAGGGTTGAAGAAACCAGCCTGTGTGGTGTAGATTTTCTTGGGGTCTTTCGATGTTGAGTAATGACTTCATCATCAAACAGTGTAGGCGATGATGTAGGCGTAAATAGGGGAACAGGGGGGCTTATGATTGGAGCAGGAGGTGGACTTTTTGCAGGTCTTTTGTGTAGCAGTGTTTTTCGTGGAGATCTTCTTGGTTTTGCAGCTTCATCATCATGTCCATCTGATTCAGAGTCTGTTTCGTAGCGTGGATTAGGTCTTTTAAATTTTAAAATAAATATCAGCAAATGCAAGTGCAAATTTTATGATCATTTTCAGTCAAGCCTATACATACATACATGCATATAAATGTGTATTCTTCAGATCAAAAACAGAGGTAAGATACTAATAGTAACACTTACCTTTTCTTTCGCCTGCTGATATATTCATCCTCGGTTTCTGTCTGGAGATCTGAGGTCAATTCTGCAAGAGCAAGTTTTTTTCTGGATTGGTTGTAGTCACCTTGAAATAAAAAAAAATGAATCAAAAATTACATTGCTGGAAATTATATTAGAAGTACATGTGCTTTATGACATTTTTTACATAAAATTTTTATTCATCGAAAAATTTTTCTAAAGTCAATTTAATCAAAGTGATAATAATTTATTACCTGTGTACATGACTCTTATGGAAAGCGCCCTGAATTCATTTGATGGGGCCACAACATTTTTAACAGCAAGGTTCAGCTTCTGGCCTTTAAACCTACTGGGCCAAAGACATTTCTTTCCTTCTTCTATCAACCAGTTGCTCGGAACTACTTCCACAGCATTATCCTCCAGAAATTCAACCACTGCATATACAGTTTTCGACCTTCAATAATTTGATAATAAAATTTTAGAATGAAAAAATATATCCTCAGGCTTGTAAATCACATTCTAATATGGCTGCATATGAGAGATTTTCTTAAACCTAACATGCATAATATGCATGTGAACACTGTACATGAATGTATATGCATCAGAGTTACATGTATATCTAGATTATACATGTATGTCTATGCTTTACACTAATAGCAAGTACACAAAGACACAAGTATCAAATGTGCTAATGTACTCTTATAAATGACAAAACTGTTTACCAGGCTAATATTTTAACACCTTTACCACACAGAATCGGTAAACGGTAATGCAATTTGCTTGTCTCTATATGGAAGAAGGACACATTTAGCTTCTACGGCTGATAATTTAGCTGACGTTACATCATTTCGCAGTACAGTTAAGGTGCCAAATGGAAATATCAGCAATTTTTTTTAGATAGAAAATACATTCTTTACAAGGATGGGCGATTCTTTTTAGGACTTAACTATTATCGGACAAATGCAATGTGGTTGAAAACTACATGTTGAGGATGATTAGATTTCTTATTTAGATTTGTCACGTGATGTGGCAGTCACGTGATTTTAGCAAATATACCTGAAGTATTGAGGTCATCTATAAATTCCAATATTGCAAGGGCATAACCAAGTTAAAAATCTAAGTGTAATATATAATTATTTTCAACACTCTTTGTAGTTTGTGAAAAGTGCTGCGAACCTATTTAGATTCTACTATCTTATTGCAAAAATTACATTTGTTAGACCGTATGTTGAATATTTTACTGGTCAACTACATTAAATATAGATATAATTAATTCATTTGCAAGATTTCAACAGGTTCGCAGCACTTTTCAAATATCTTCATACTTCTTAAGTTTATGTATAAAAGCTTGTCATAATTCATTGAGGGTATGCCCTTGCAATATATCGATTTATTACGACCCTTCTATTACCCTTCAATGAATCTGCATACAAATATACGGCAGTATCGCTTGTCTAGGGAATGTACGGGAAGTATAAGAATAAAATCATAAAATAGACATCGCACCCAAGTTAATGGCCTCTTATATATCTGAAAATAATATTTTATTTAATTACAAAATACATTTTTCATTGTATAAAATATAACTTGATCCACCTCTCACTGCATACAAACTGCGTCAACTTTTACGATATGACGTCACATTGACAAGTGCATTGCGATCAGTGAATCGTTTATATATTGCTGTGTGGGGTTTGACCAACGACAAAAATGCATGCAATAATTAGTATTTATGTAGTTTAAAGCTATCCAACATTTTAAAATAGCAAATCATTTCATTTTGTGGTAATTTGAAGAACTTATATTTTTGTGTGACGTCATAGTAAGCATTTCCCGTACAAATTAGGCCCCGCCTCCTTACTGCAGCCTTAACTGTACTGCGTTTGTAAATCACCTACAACAACTATTCCCAATAAGCTTGATTGCAGGGGTGATGTGAAGAAATTTCCAAAATTTTGAAAGGGTTTGTACACAATGTACACCTCATCATCATCTAGAATAATGTTTTTCACTAGACAAATGGCACCACCAATCCTTACACAACTATCTTTTTTGTTCAGTTTTAACACAAAGTTCTCTGTTTTAACCACGTGATATTGAGTGCCTGCTAGGAGATTATCTGGTACTGGGCCACGTCTGTGTTGCTTCTTTAAAATAGGATATGCAGATCCAACTTTCTCCATGTTATTTTGCTCAGACAGCCTGCGAATAACCTGTGAAAGAGGAAAACATGGTTTCCGTATCATACGCTTTAATTTACAGAGAAAGTTTTCAAAGGGAAAAGAAGAAATTTTGTCAAGGCTACCATACTTTTCAGCATCCTCAGATAGGTGAGTAAGTCCATGAACATTGTAGACTGCATTTTCTTCTCCATAAATTTGACAAAAAGTGATTGACAAAACCGACTAAAACATCATGGGCATATTGATTGTACATGCTACGTAATGTGTTATTAAGAAGACTGTGAATCCCAACAAACAGAAGCAAAAAGTTCTCATAGATATTAGGATGAACTACATCTAGGATCACCAGTGGTCCTGTATAGAGCAAGAATTCCCTAAATTCTGTGGCCTTCCATCTGTTTATCTCAGATAATGACCTAGGTCGTCTGGCAAAATCTGAAGGGACACAATTCTTCAATAACAACAAATTGCTTGAAATTTATTGAACACTATGTGCATCTAAGTGACATTTAAGGGGACCTTTAACCCAAAGAAGTAAGAGACGTTTCATAACACCTAAGCACACAAGAAGCACGTAGTCAATGGGTATTTGTGAAACCATTCCTATATTGACACAAGATAATGGTGAAACAGCCTTATGATGATCTTCATCTGCCATACTTACAAAGCTTGCATCAGTTCAGAGGGGGACATTTGTTTCTGGAAATGTCATTTTCCCTTTCCATTCTCCTTCTTGTGTACATTTATCACAGCCATGATATCCAGAAAATGATTTCACACACTTTACAAAAGCACGAGCTGGAGCATCACAAATAACAGAGTGTATGTCAATATAAACAACCTTTTCACCAATGTTCAAACCATTCATATTAAATTCCCTGTATTCATTAAGAAATTCTCCTAAAAACTCATCCAAGTTATTTGGTTTGCTTGTACCAGAGAAAATACCAATAATGAAAGGTTTCTTGTGTTCGGTGTTGACAAATCTACCTAATATAGGCCAAAACTGGTGCTGTGTACTCTTAAAAAGAGGAAGACCATCAATATTGATCTGGAGATGCAAGCGAAATCCATCACTGAGTGACTCAATACTGGTGCTCAATTGATCAAGAACATATCTTGAAATGTCAAAGTAGTAATACTGTCCACCACATTTGTTCTCTGTGTCATACTGAGTTTCTGTGCGCAATAGCGTTCTAGGATCTTTAGGGAGATCTGGGTGTGATACTCTCAGTATGTTCTAAAGATCAATGAGAGCTAGGATTGTAATACTATGCAATACTGCCCATTCTTTAATCCTATCACGTAAACTAATTGTCTCCCCCTCAGATTCTGATGTATCCGAAGCATTAAAAAGATAATGTGTATCGTAATCATTTGAAACACGCTCACAATCTTCTTCTGAACTAACTTCACCATGAGAGACATTTACGTTGGAAACATTTTGGTCAGTTGTTAAAGCATTCATGTCAGACTCTGGTTCTACAATTTCCCTAGTTTGTTTGTAGTGCTCATTAGAATCTAAAGTGTTTTCTTGCAATCTACTACATGCTTAGAAACATTAGAATGGACTTTATGCCTTCTTGTCCAGTTCGAAGAGTATTCCGCCATGCCTCTCGTTTATGTGATTTACAAGCTAAGTTTACGTCTTTTAATCAGCCAAAAAGAAAATTAGTTTATGCTAGGCTATGATTATATGCAGTGGTGTATGGTCTCATAGAGTCTTTAGCTTTCATACATACCTACAATAAGTAAAATCGATCTTACCATGCGTACAGTTTACTTTATAATTTTTTCCGTTTCAGCCATGCTGAAGTCATGTGACCAATAGTCACATGACTTCAACATGAGCATCTCTCACTAGAGGGCGCAGCAACGCAAGCTTAATCATCGAAGTTAAGTTTTTTTTAAAGTATACAAAATACGAGTTTCGATAGATATTTCACCAGACTTTGTGTTATTGCAAGGAAGAGTGCCTAGTATAATAATGATAATGCAAGCAAACTAAACAATAGCAAATTCTAATTAAGAAACTCATGTACCGACGTTTTGCAAAGCGCGATCGGGCTTAATTAACTGATTCACTTTAACTGTTAAAAATAAAATATATAAAAGAATAAATACACTATTAAATATATTCAATCACAAATGCCCTTCAATTAAAAGACAAAAAAGGAAGTGAGACAAATCGAGCTCTACAACAACCACACGCTGAGAATAAATTCTAAGAAAACTTGTAGAAAACACCAGTTCGCGTTTAAGATTTTAATTTATAAATTACACGATAAACACTGATAAAGGACATGCAAAAGGTTTATAATTTAATGCACATTATTAATAAAAAGAAACAAAACCAAGACTGCACAGTAAGATCTCCTGAATTAATCAATGATTCTGCTTTTAAATCTGAAATAACTGCATATGCATGAGTGGTACTTACATTTCTGCACATGTACGTATGACTGGACGTACTTCTGTAAAACTGAATTCACAATTAATAAAACTGATTCCTCAGAAAAAACTTTCCTTTTTCAGCTGCTTTGTTTCACGTTCTTCTCTACTAAAATTCCGAGATAAGAATTCTGGACGCGTAAAATGGATGCAGGATTGACCATCCCGACGTATCAGATATCCCTATAACCATAGAAACTGGCCAGTCTCACGCTGTGGAAAAACCTGTCCTAATTGCTTGGTCAGTAAATGTGCTCTTATCTGAGAATCTGCTTCCTAAATCCAACACTTTAGAACAATTTTGTAATCTTAAGTATTTACAAGCGTTATAGCTTAATTTATATTTCTTTAATTTTACTCTTTTGATATATGCCAGTTTTATTTTTATTTCTGCATAAATGAAAATTGAATAGAATTTGAATTTTTAATGTTTTCTAAAAAAAAAAAAAAAAAAAACCAAACCAATTATACTTTTTACAAAATTACATAAATATATAAAATCAATTTTACACTCTAACCCCCGGATATCTCGAAGTTCATCAACGGTCCCGTCAACTTCGAGATAACGAAGTTTAACTGTAATTTTAATTTTATAAATTAAGCATCCTTTTCTTCAAAACATGCTGTCCATGTATTAATTTTTGTGCGTACGTTTTTCATCAATATATAGATCGATTTACAATCCTTCTTTTGTAGCCATATATTTTTTTGTTTTGTGTTTTCCGTGACATTTGTGACATCAACCCAACCTTTGGGTCATTAATTAAACACAATTTTTTCAAGGTGGTCCGATGTTGGGCCCACATTATATTTCTGACCAATTTTGGCATTAGGGAATGAATGGGATATGTTGACATTGGCCCTATGTTGGGCCAACATTGTGCTGCCAACAAACTCCGAGGCCCAATGTTGGCCATGTGTTATATAACCTCGGTATCAGAGCTATGAAAGTGACACAGTATATTGACATTGGCCCGATGTTGCGCCAACATTGGGTTGACAACAAACGTCAGTAATAAATTGGTTGCATTTTTACAATATTGGCCCGATGTTGGGCCAATGTTGTATTCCCAACCAACCTTGGTAGCATACTAGGAAAGTGATATGTTGACATGGGCCCGACGTTGGGCCAACATTGTGTTGACAACTAATTCTGGTATTTAATGAGTCACAATTTTACATCGTTGGCCCAATCTTGGTACCAGAGTATGAATGTGACATGTTGACATTGGTCCAATGTTGGGCCAATGTTGTTTAGCCAACGCCAACCATCTGCCAACGGTCCAACCATTTGCCAACGTTGGGCCAACGTAGTCATGCTATCTGGGGAAAGACTGGTTTTAAATTTAATTCTCTTACCACAGTTTCATAATTAAGTATACTTTAATTCTTTGAATTATTTTAGATTCTCTGCAACATAAAACAGAATGCATATGAAATGAAATCGATCGGAACCAATTATAGCATTGACAGTAAGAAAGCTATGTAAACTCACCAACACATTTATTGTTTTCCAGTTTGTAGCCAGCTAAACAATTTCTCCATAATCTTTGGAAAGATAAGAAAACGTTCGTTTACATAAGAAATAAAACACAAACAGTTAAAAATTTCCACCAGAAAATATACTAAACCAAAGTTTGGAGATGTATTTTGCCCGGCTACTTGAAATTCTCTAGGAAAGAATAAAAGCAACAATTCTATAATCCTCATTTTCGCACACTGCTTTTGATTGAAGCTGTTAAAGCTAATTATTTAAATATATCGTTAGATAATTCACAGGAAGTGAATACTGTGAACGACAAAGTTCAAACCGTTTAATTCAAAAATACTACCACAACACTTTAAAGTCCAACAAACGAGGTCAGGCATATATTTCCGTATTTAATGACGGTATGGATAATGGTCATGTTCTATAATGTACATGTATAGAATGCAAAGAGGTGAAGAGTTTTATGCGGTACTTATTGTGTCCTTAATAATGTTGAATAAAACACCAATGAAACGAACAAAAAATGTTTTCTTTTTATACATCAGCATCAGACAAAAATGTATCTCGCATCTTCGACCAATCTTTTTCCATGAGTAAGTGAATGCTATAGGTTTATTTCAGTCGAAAGAAGTTTTTTAAGTGTAATTCCTATGTAAATGTTATTATCATCAATTCACAGTCATCTTATCAAACACACTTTTCTAAAAGTATACAGCTATTTCCCGTAATTCACTCTTCCCAGAAAGTCGGAAATCTTGGACCTCATCCCGTATAAAGATAAAAGTCAAAATATAGAATTTGGTTGTTATCTAGCTCTCGTCTTATGGATGAAATATATGGAGATAACGAACAGTATTCAAGCCCAAAAGTCCATTAAACAATACAAATCAGTAGCAGAGCTTACACGGACCTCTAAAACATCAGAGGTGGTATTTGGTGCCATGGAGGAGTGAGCATCCCCTGCCGGCCGGTCACACCCGCTGTGTGCTCCTTGTCATGATCGGGAAAAAACGGGAGAATCCATTGACAGTTCAGGGTGTCAATAATGCCCTAACAATAAGTATATAAAACGTAAGTTAGCGTTTGACTTAATGATAGTTATGTTCTTGCTGACAAGGTCATCATATCAACCATAGAACTTACACATGATGACTTTAAACGAGACTGTTGATATTCTTATTTCATCCCTTTTGTATCGTGTATCCCTTATTACAGTAATAGTTCTAATCATCGAGCTAGCTAAAAGGATTGAATGTCTTGCAAACACAAATTCCTTGGAGGTTTACTGATCAATCCAAGACCTTATCCCTTACCAAATTAAAGATGAAATCGAAACCTGAAATCTCGATGTTTTCAAGCTCTTTGTACCATGTAAAAGAATTGTTCAAAAAGTAATGCAACATGCGGTTATTTGAAATAAATAATAAAGCAGTTAAATACATTGATTCGCACTAGAAAAGTTCAATTGCAGACATCTTTATCATCGAAAACCGCATGATTTCCCTATGTCTTCGCAAAGAAATTTACTTTCAAAGTCAGCATTTTCACTTCACTTAGCTTAAAACTGTTTAAAAGATACAAAAAATGAACAGGAGAGCTTATGTGAAAACTGCGTTTCATGACAAAAAAAAAAAAAAACGTTGAAGAATCCAAAAGAAGATAGTGTTTTGATATCTGGAAAGACTAGTCTTTTATAGCATTGTTATACGGTGTTCATGTGGAAATTAATTAGTGAAAAGGGGTTTTAAAAGATCGCACCCGAGATCTGTAAGGACACCACAAAATATCGATGTTGTGAGCAACATGATAGATTTACAGTGAGAGACGTTGATAAGACACTGAACATTTCATCATCACAACTGTTGATTGAGTTGTTCTGACAAAGGAAATGAATCTAAAAAATTATTTCTCTCAAATAAATGCATTATTTCTTTACAAATGCCTACAGAAAATACGTGTTAAATGTGCCAAGGGTTTATTCAAAAAATGAATTTTTATAAAGTAGGTATGGTTGCACTGTTTATAACTCAAATGGAAGGTCAAATAATAAAATGTGGCATCAGAGAGGAAGCTGTCGTCTTATTATTGCAAAGAGTAGCCATGGCTCAGGAGAAGTCAAGTAATGCGTGTACGCAGTACAGTTAAGGTGCCAAATGGAAATATCGGCGATTTTTTTAGATAGAAAATACATTCTTTACAAGGATAGATTTTTCTTTTTAGGACTTTACTATTATCGGACAAATGCAATGTTTTTGAAAACTACATATTGAGGACGATTAAATTACTTATTAAGACTTGTCACGTGATGTGGCAGTCACGTGATTTTAGCAAATATACCTGAAGTATTGAGGTCATCTATAAATTCTAATATTGCAAGGGCATAACCAAATTAAAAATCTAAGTTTAACATATAATTATTTTCAACACTCTTTGTAGTTTGTGAAAAGTGCTGCGAACCTATATAGATTCAACTATTTAAATGCTAAAATTACATTTGTTAGACCGTATGTTGAATATCTTGCTGGTCA